TTTGGTGGGATGCGGATTCGAACCCGCGACCCTCCAGATTGCGAGTCGAGTACCTTAACAACCTGGCCATGCCGGGCCTCAAATTGAATGTAATAGTCATTTATATTTTGATACACATATAATTTATGGAATATTCTCATAATTCTCACAAGTGTATTATAATTTCTTGTTTTTATTTTCTTAGCGCAAAGCTGTATAATGGGCTTCCTGCACTCGCGAGGAATCTAACCCTGGATTTTAGTGCTATAGTCCGTAAGCTTATCGAAACATCTTATTGAAATTTGATGAACTGCCACCAGGTGTAGCATTTATCACTTAATAAATACGAATATCAAACTAAAAATAATTCCTTTGAAAAATTAACGTTCACCCCTCAAAAGCATAAAACGCACATAAATGTTGGTTATGAAATAAAAAAAAAACATTTCATAAATGTTAATAAATTCTGTTTATTTTTCAAGGCGAAACATTTTTGAATACTTCTCACTATGATAATTTGGATTTTAAGAGACTTTTAAAAATATGGTAAAATAGTGATTATTGTACCAGAAAACTGCATTTGAAAGTGGCAGCATTAATCAACTTTACCAAGGAGTTATATGTATTCATACTTTATCATTATCATTAAGATTAAATGTTGAATTGTATTTTAAGAACAATTAATTGACGCCTTATTTATGTATTATTTATATTCGCGGTAAAAAGTATTACCACAAAATCATAGAACATACAAAACTATCGCCGAAAAGACCTATTGCTACACGACGAAGAATGTAGCTCGTGATAGGCATAGTGGAAATACTTTTATTTATAGTGAAAGGTAGTTTGTTTGTTTTTGTTATTAAGCACAAAGATACACAATGGGTTGTTTGTGCTGTGTCCACAGAAGCATCGAAATCCGATTTTTCGCGTTATAAACCTTAATTCTTACCACTGACCTACCGGTGTGCAGTCAAAGGTCGATTTTGTACGAGTGATATTCTATTGGTATTTGAAGACTAGTTTATTATATTTCCCTTTGTGCACAAAATCGTGTTAAATCAACAAGGGAGTTACAACAAGTCACTCGAACTGCATAATTTCTTTTAATATCGTTTTATATTTTATTCATCTTCTTAGTTACTACTAAATAATGAGTACAATTTTCTAAATTAATAGGTTAAGTTTTTGAACTCTATAAAAAAATTTTAGGCTCAAGAACATTTCATAAGTGTAACTCTAAGATTTTATTTTCGACTTAAGAATATATACTTGAGAAGAAAATATATGAATCCCAAAATGTTAGCAACAATAAGCAAATTATAATTTATATTGATCGATCATTGAGAGAAGAGGAATTAAAATGGAATGATGAAAAATAACCGTCTAAATGAGGGCAAGCGACTTTGGAAAAAAGCTATGACGTCAATCTTTTTACGTCATCAGTGTTTACGCAAACACTTATAAAGTATATATAAGCAAGATTAAGGTTGATAAAAAGTATATTTTGAAATATTAAATAGGCTTAACTCCTACATCTTCTTTCGGGCTATAAACAGCAAAGTTTAATGTTCTCTACTTCAGAGATAATATCAAACTGAAAATAAAAACAAAACGTACGTTAAGCGATTTGTTTTAAAGGTAAATAAATGAAATGAAATATAAAGCTTCTCCATCGTCTTGGAAAGACGAGAACATGTGCTTTTGTATAAGAAGTGAGTGAGTCGTCGCCATAATGCAGCAAATTTACAAAAATTTGCTTTTAACTGGTCGAATAAAGGGTTTTTCATCAAGTTCATGACATTTGCACAGT